CGCCGCACTTCAAGAGGGATGCGGATAACCTGGAGAGAGTTCAGAGAAGGGCCACTCGTATGGTTAAGGGCCTGCAGGCCAAGCCCTACGAGGAGAAACTAGAGAAACTGGACCTCTTCAGCTTCCGCAACAGAAGGTTGAGAGGCGACCTTGTGGCTGCCTATAAGTTCATCACGGGGGCACAGAAGGGAATTGGTGAGGGTTTATTCACCAAGGCGCCCCCGGGGGTTACAAGAAATAATGGCCACAAGCTAGCAGAGAGCAGATTTAGATTGGACATTAGGAAGAACTTCTTCACAGTTAGAGTGGCCAAGGTCTGGAACGGGCGCCCAAGGGAGGTGGTGCTCTCCCCTACCCTGGGGGTCTTCAAGAGGAGGTTGGATATGCATCTAGCTGGGGTCACCCTTGGAATAACCAGGAACAATGGCCACAAACTGACAGACAGCAGATTTAGGTTGGACATCAGGAAGAATTTCTTTGCGGTAAGGGTTGCCAGAATCTGGAATGGGCTCCCAATGGAGTTGGTGCTCCACCCTACCTTGGGGGTCTTTAAGAGAAGCCTGGATAAGCACCTGGCTGGGGTCATCTGACTCCAATGCTCTTTCCCTGCCTATGCAGGGGGTCGGACTCAATGATCTATTGAGGTCCCTTCTGACCCATGAATCTATGAATCTATGAATCTTTTCCGAATCGATTCAGAGAGCTTCGCATTGATTCGGACCTTTTTATTGGTCCCCTGAATCGATTTGGATTTGGACATTCGGGCACTGAATCGGGCCGAATCTCCTCCAAATTGAATCAGCGCCCGAAGCTTCACGCAGCCCTACCAACTGCATGGCTGAGAGATTTAGACAAGCTTTCAGGAGCAAGGTATTCTTCTTCAGGTCTCAAGAAAAAGCAAGCGCTGTGAAGATTCAAAACACTCTGCAGTGCTGTGAATTTAGAGATGAGAGAAAAACCCAGGGGAAGCAGATGAGCAAATCACAGAAGAAAGGATCACTTGATTTGTGGATGATCAAGACCTGTCAAAAGGGAAGAGGCTCATTGTTATATTTGTCCCGAGGCCTTCATAAATTAATGCCTCCGGCCAGAAGTGTGGGAAAAAGTGCTGCCAGGACAAGCAGGCACACAATAGATCAGAAACAGAAGCAAAACTATACCTGCATTGGCATAAGCAAATTCAACCAAAAGTAACTTTAGAATAGTGGCTCTCAACCTATTTTTGTACTCAAGGCATACCTCATGACTTTTGTGAACTGAGTGGCGCCCAATGTCAAAACCTGTTTTATCTATGACAGTGATTATCAGCTTAAACAGGAGTACTTGAGGTCAGGGATCGTTCAGACAGGCACACGCCTGAGTTTGGCTTATCCGCTTATCTGCTCATGCCTTGGGGTGCCCTTAAGAGGATCTGGCAGCACCCCAGGATGCTCCATCACCCTTGTTGAGAATCCCCACATATGCAGATTCAACACATTCAGATGTCTCATATCTCACCCCCGCCTCCCCTCCTCGCCTTTCGAAATAATAGCAGCACAGTGCACAGACCGCATTACTCTCCCGTGGCTTGCACTTCTTTGCTGGGTAGCATCAATCATCTATGTCTCTGCTTCTCTGAGAACATGCCCTTTGCATCAGGCTCTCAATGGTGTTTCCTTCTGGGTTAGTGGCTTCTACTCCCTTGGACACAGTCCTGAGGAGGTGGCCCACCTTCATCCATGTCTCCTCATCAGACGTAGGCAGCTCGACATCATCAGGTCCTGGCTGGTGGACATTGCTACTGTCTGGTGTAGCATTAGCTATTGTCACTGCGGGTTGCAAAGCTGATGGCCTAACCACAGATGGGGCTCCAGCTGTTGCTGCTGCACTTCGTATGGCACTCACGCCTGTACCTCGCAGCTGGTTGACGTGGCAATGCCAAACAACCACAGGTGCTGATTTGCACTGCTTGCTCTGCATAGGTCTAATGTAATTCCTGAAGGGGAGAGAGCCATAGAGCAACCAGCTGGCTCCAGGGCCCTGGAGGAAGCAGTGGGAGCAGATTAGGGTGGCCATCATAGAGGACAGTCCGGTTGTCCTCTGTCCTCTATTGATACAAAACCGGACACCTTTATATCCTTTATTTTTCTCTTCAAGACAAAGAAGCTCCAGCCCACAGGGGGCTAAAAGGGAGCCCCCCAACACCAGGCATCAAAGCCAAGGTATTTTGGTTGTCTGTTTACTTGGTATTGTCCTGGTGTGACACAGACCCAGGCAGGGGAAGGACTTTAGTTTGGAGCATCTTCACGTATACCCATGTTTATGTCTGAAACTGGACGACCGGGAGCGGCTGCGAAGGGAGGCTCAGAGGCTGCAAGGGGCGCCTAGGGAGGCGCTGCCACTTTTGCTGCGGGACTGAGCTATGAGCTGAAAGTCAGAGCCTGCAACCAAACAGACTGTGTGCATGGGAGCCAACCCCAAGGGGACAGAGGGTGAGGAGCCCCAAAGACTGTGTAGAGGCTGAGAAGGGGAGACCGGGGCCCGGAGGCCAAAAGGACAAGACAGCTAAAAAACTGGGCTGCCAGTGAGCCCACGACCAGCCTGCCACATCAGGCTCTGGGCCCCGGTCTCAGCTTTTCGGGCTCTGCGCCCCAGTCTTGTCCTCCTATGCTCTGGGCCCTGCATTCGCCCTCTTAGACTTGGGGCCCTGGTCTTCTCCTCTTGGGCTCTGGTTCTCACTCCCTTCAGAGCGGGCACATAGGGCAGGCTCCCAGTGCCCACCACGGGTGTAACATGGCCATCTCAGGCCCTGACATGTTAAATAGGATAAAGGCCCGCCTGAGCACTCACAACCCCAAGCTGCCATTCATAATCCCATAATTGCAAGTCAAAGTCTCCTTATTCCCTTTTCTACACCTTACCACCCTCTGCTTCTTACTGCTCTGAGCACGGCACACTCCCTGGACAGGTTTGGTTTTACAACGGCTCCTGCACTTGTGCTCCTTACACCAGCCATTAGTTGGGGTGCAAGCCCCTTTTGCACACCAGCAGTACACACCAGGCTGTTGCCTGCTCTGGCTCTGCCGTGGCATATTTAATAGCTCGCTTATTCCTATTTCCGTAGGCATGCCTGCATGCAATGCTAGGGCATCTTTTGCTGCAATGTCCACAGCTATTCCATTTTCAACAGCACATTTAAAAGTGAGCTCTTCTTCCTCCATTAAAATTTTCCTTTGTATGGCATCATGGAGTAGCCCACATGCACATCTGTCTCTGAGGGCCACACTAAGTCCACCCTTCCAATTGCCATATTCAGACAATTTCCTTAGCTGAGTCACAAAAAACGGAAATAGATTTACCTTGACTCCTCACGTCAAACCTGAACCTTTCTGTAATAATCCATGGCTTGAGAGCCAGGTGCACCTGGGCAATCCTCACAATTTCTTTATGTGTTCTGCTTGCTGGTTTTTATATGTTTTTCCTCTCATCAAATTGAATAATGCAGCTACATATTTCTGTGGGGGAATTTCATTCACTTCAAAAAACTGCTCCAGCCACGATGAGCATGTAGGCCAGGTGTGCAGGACGCTATCATAATCTCCAATGGGTGATGTTAAGATTTGCTTGTCATAGGATTGGCCCTGACTACAAGATTGGGACTCTCGTTTTATGGCAGCAGTGTGTCATGTGAGGGTATGCTTGTGGTCACACAAGTGATTGCAGCTCATATATAGCGATCCAAGCCACTTTTCCACAAGCTAACAGGCACATGCAAAGGCACAATCGGCATGTGACCTATTTTGTTTAATAAAGCACCAACGATTTGCACCAGAGGAGAATCTGGCCAAAAGCCTCATTGTATGTCACTTCTCTAATGAAAAGAGCGGCTCCTCGTTTTCCACCAGGGTCCCCTCAAGAGGCACAAAAACCCTTGGGCAATAATAAGGACACAGAAACATCAGTTGATTTGTCTGCAATTTATTGAGAAGGGCCGTACCCCTAGAAAACGGGACAGACCATGAGCAGAAAAGGTAAGGAGACAATACAATACCAGCACATTCCACATCACAGAAGACTTTGCAGAGAACATTTTGATCTGTTACCTTAAAAAGAAGCCATGCACACATCAGGCAGAACTGAGTACAACTAACAATTGAGAGGACACAAGCAGGATTAATACCCACTCATTTTGGGGAAGGTTGGCTAGAGTATACCCGGGGTTACCCAAATATTGCATCTGCCTACTCGTTCCAGATAGAGGATGTATTGACCTCTCCAAACACCAGCAGAGAAGTTTCCTCCTACTCCGTTCTGTCTGGGCTGAACTGTTACTTCAATGTGGGAAAGCATGGCCTACTGCTGTTTGTAAAGCGAGCAAATGCAGGACGTGCGATGCAGTAAACTAGAGCACCCAAGGAAACGTGGCCATTGAAGAAGAAGGCTCAGGAAAGAGAAGGGAAGAAGGAGTTTTATACACATTGCCACAGGGCAGTCTCAACAGTTCAACAGGTACAGCACAGCGAGAGAGGCAGAGCGCTCCTCCCTTCATCCACCCTCTGCTAACTGCTAGCCTCCAGGGATGCGTTTCCTGGCACAGCTCCCTAACTTTGCAATATTGCTTAGGTCTGAACAAGACTCTGGAGCTTGCTGAAAACCTAGGCCCACGGTGGCAGTGTCCAAGAGGGTGGTGTCTTCTCACACGGCTCCCCCTAGGAGCACGGGCAGTTGGCAGAAGAGGGTCTATGGAGGGGGTTGAGCAGCCAGGGGCACAGTTCGTTTCTTTTCTGGATGCCAGGAGTGGGTGGAGAGGGGCTGTGCTGCAGCCAGGAGAGCAGAAGAGATATTTCCTGCCCTGGGAAGAAGGACTCCCAGGCTTAACACTTTCCCCCTGAAGATTTGACGGTCGTAGTTGTGGTGCATCTCCTGACAGACGAGGAGGATCCACCTCCGATGCTGCCTCCGCCACAGCTGAAGCCTCTTCCGCTTCCAGAGGAGTAACCACCGCTGATCATGCCACCTCCACTGACACAGCTGCCTCCATACCCGCCTCCTACCATGCCTCCTCCGATTCCACCTCCTCCAATGCCACCTCCAATTCCACATCCTCCTCCAAATCCACTTCCGCCTCCGAATCCACTTCCAGCTCCGAATCCACTTCCGCCTCCAAATCCTCCGCCAATTCCTCCATGGCCTCCAGAAATGGTGGTCCTGCCCACCACCGCTGCAAGGGAAGCACAGGTTGGTCACCACTCCGAAGTCACTCAGAAAAGCAAAGGTGGGAAGACTTGAATGCTTAGCACTAAAGAATGGCCATGAGAGAAGAGGTCTCTCTGAAACATGCTGGAATGTGCATAATCAATGGGATGCTATAATATCAGGGTAAAAATTATACAGGAATGACAGAAGAGGTCATACAGGTAGGGAAGAGCCATGCTACATCAAAGACTGCATCAAATCCAATAGGGCAGATTTTTCAGCTGATGAGGGAGGTACCATAGCATCATTGTGGACAGGAGTCCCAGGTTTCAAAAGAAAAAAAGGACGTCTAGGAATATACTATCAACCCACACACCAGGGTGCAGCAGTGAGCTCACAATGCTATGGGAGTCAAGAGAGGCTGTGACAGCCAAAAACACAGCAATAACAGGAGACTGATACAGAACTTCCTAGACTGTATATGCCGGAGCCTGCAAGTAAGAGAGCAACAGTGGGAACGTCCCTGATCAGACCTAGTCCACACTCCCTTTTAGCATCCACTCTCTGCTGCTGTGTGATACGAGACGGGGCAAAATGGACCTATGGCCTGACCCAGGACATGCCTGTTCTTATGTTCTTATGTCACTTAATGGCTCAAAGAGGGGAACAGTGGGAACACCCTACTCAGGTAGGCATTTAGCAACCACAGGAACCCAGCTCCAGCAGTAACCCACAATAAAGCAAAGAGGCAAGTACTTACAGACATTCACGTTGGACAGATCCTGACTCAGCCTGTGCGGGGGAAGGAAGAGAGAGGTCAGTCACCCTGTGGAAATAAGTCCTGCTGACACTGAGACCCACCCAGCTGTGAACTTCACCTCTGTAGTGCAATGCCATTCCCTGAGCACCCCTTTATATCCAACTTCTATTAACTCCACTCAGCTTTGAACTATTTCAAACAGAGGGAGTCCAATGCATATTTCCACATAGGTCCCTGTCCATTATTGCCATTAAGGCCAATGGCAGCTGGGACTCCTTTAGTGTACACAAATCCAAAACTATTCCTTTAACTAGGGTACAACCCCTCCAGAGACGCTCACTTTGGTCACTAAATGTGAAACCGCTCCATTTAGAATATGTATATTCAGTGATATCTTTTGTATTACAGGTCTTCAGCAACTGCAGTAATATAGGCATCACCGCTGCTGTTATCATGAGAAGGGCAAAAAGCGCAAGTCTGGCTTTCTTCCAGAACAACCTGTTCAATGCCCCCCTGAAACTCCAAGTCATCCCCCAGCACAATTCTGAGCACAAAGATAATGTTCAGCTGGTGCCGAGCAGCGCTTGCCATAGATACTGCAGCAAGCCTGGAGGCTCTTCAGGTAATTATTAGCACCTTCAGTGTTTTCACAGGGTTTATTGCATGGACTGATAGGGGCATCACTAGCTACAGAGCATGGGACTTAGGAGCACAGCCCCAGAATCAGAACTTCCTGCACCATGGGCAACTGGTGCCCCCTGAGTCTCGGGGCAGCACCCGCAGAAGCTGCTGACGGTGTCGGCGACATCGGCAGAGTTGGTGAGCATCCACAGATGCCACCAGTGGCATTGGTGGCAAGGACGGCCCTGTCGGGGGGGGGGGGGGCAC